TCGTTTTGAAATATGGATAAAATATCTGGAAAGTGTGAGTTGTGAAAGAAATTACGATATTACAAATGAAAAGAGCGGAGTTTGATTATTAAAAAATTATTTTCCAATACACAGTGTTTTCAAATTTGCTTACTTTTCTCCTACGTTCATTTATAAATTCTTCAAGTATGACTTTTTCATTACATTTTGACGAAATTTTGAATATTTTTAGTAAGTACTTGTGGCGAATATTTCGCGACGAAGGCCTCGTGTTTCTTTTTCCATTTTGGGATCGTAATTTTTAAGAGTTTACGTGTTCCTCTTGTAAACATCGGCGATTTGATCGTCGAAGGCAATGCTCGATCTTAGGCCGCTGTTCCAACCGAGTGGACACCGGCCGGTGTACATCCAACACCGTGTGACCGTGCACGTTGGTGACCGCAGGAAAAAACTCGACACCATTTACCTTAAACTTGAAACAACGCGCCGCGCGCGCGTGCAAAACAACATGTCCATGTCGTATTGTTTCGTCGACGGGTATCAAGTGCCTGCCGCTCCTTTCAATCTCACCGCAACAACTATACTTCGGGGATGCTTGCTCGGCCCTCGTGACATCTCATTTTTGCCCTCTTCAAAAATCTGTACTTTTATTCAGCTCCGTGTCGCAGATAAAAAGGAAAATATAATTGCAAACGGTAATCGTGTCTGTCAGTTTTATTACGAACGCGTTAAAAAGTTAACGATGCTGACAGAGAGAAGAGAAATATGCGTGCGCACAATTACAGAGAGAAAAAGGTTTCTTTGGATTTAGTGTTTCTATTTATTTGATCGAGATTTGTTTCATTGAAACAACATATGCTTATACAAAACATTATTCGTTTGAATAAAAATTTAGTTGTTTCGTTCAAACAATCTGTATTATTTGATAGAAAAGACACTATTATTTCAAGTAATATCTTTTAATAAAATAATTATATTATTTGGCCAGGCGCCTATAAAGTTCGGCGCTGCCACTAGATGGCCGCCGAACTCGTGAGTAAAATCGACGACGAGTAGAAAATTAAATTATAATGTAGAGGGAAAAAGATATATGTGTGTACCTACTTTTTTCACACATTTTCTATCAAACGATAATGTTGCTCGAATAAAACAATAATATCATTTAGATCACAGAGAACGTACCTTTTGTTTCAAACAAATGTTTTATTTCAGACGAAGATATATATTATTTTAAATTATTTCCAACTATCAAATTTGTTTAGATACAACAAAATTTAAATGCAAAAAAATCGTTTCCTCTGTGTATTGGGAATGAAAAGAGGGAGGGCGTTTCCCGGGGCCCAGGAATGTCCACGATGGAATCCTAGCGCCGTTTAACCGAATGGCGAACGAATGCGTTTCCGTATGGTAGAGCTTTCCGTGTTCGACACACGCTATTATTTCCGTCTTCGAGATTATGCCGGGCGGTAAGACGCAACAGTTGGTCGGCGTCGTCGAGCGTGACGGAGACGTTGGACACGACGGAAGGACGTGCGGAAGGACGGGCACCTATGCATTAGCCGATTACCTTAGATCAGATAAAGCCGTTCTTCTAGCAGGTGATTTCCCCGTCTTCCCTTTTTCTCGAAGGTGAAAACTCGTCGTCGGGACACGCAGCGAGAGCGGAAGCGCTCGCGAAAAGTAACTCGGGCTAACGAGGGGCCTCTCGCCCGTTCGAAATTAATTGGAGAAGACGAAGGGAACTAATCACGAAGAAGCCGAATCATCCCGCCAAATTGCTCTTGCGATCGAAGAGAAGAACGTTTTCTAGGAATTGCTTGCCGAGGGAAAAACGACTATTAACTGTTTCCTGCACAGCTTCGTTCTTGATAAAAAATAATTTGATATGCAGAAGAGTATTCTGATCGCGAGATTAAAAAAGAAATTTTAGAAGGGACATAACAGTTTGCACGCCGTGTTTCGTACATTGCGCAGCACCACGAATGCAAAGTGTAATCGAGAACGTCGAGTCGAAACCAAAAGACACGAGGAACCTCCTGCAAAGTTTGCTTCTTCAACTATTTTACCTGTCACTCTCTACATCATCTTTATTTTTTTGATCGAAATTATTTTCTTCTTCGAAACAAATTCGAAATAATTTGCGACGAAAAGTGAACAAGAATCGACGTATTAGGACTCGGTACACAAAGAAAAAAGAAAGAATTTCTTTGGATTTAGTATTCCTATTTATTCGATTGAAAGTTGTTGCATTGAAACAACATATTGTTTCATTCAAACAATTTGAAAAGATACTATTATTTGAAGTAATATCTTTTAATAATTCTGTTGAACAATCCGAACCCACATTCAAAAGGAAATCTTCCTTTATTAGCACAACGTTTCGGCCATGGCTTTTGGCCCTTATCACTTGATATCGAAATCTGAATTATTTTAATATTTGCTGGCGGTAGAATATCTTGAATTTGGTTTTACTATCTTTTAATTAAATAATTATATTATTTGAACAAATTTGAAGTACAAGAGAATATATAACCTTTTTTGTTTCAAATATTTTATTTCAGACAAAGATATAAATTATTTCAAATTCAAACTAATGATTTGTTTGGTCTGTTTCAAATATAAATATTTGTTTGGCTACAACAAAATTTATTAAACCAAAAAAAAAAATCGTTTTCTTTGTGTAGGATTACGTCAATTAAATCAACGTGACCTTGGCGTGACGTCTCTGAGAAATCGGCGTTACGAAAAATACACATTCGGCGATGAGATACCTAAGAATAGAAGTACAGAGACAGCACGCGTCCGAGAGGTCTCTCGATGACGCGCGAGGCGGATTGATTAAATCGAGCGCGCAAAGTTAAACTACGCTCGCCACCGGGAAGATATTTTTACGAGACGAAACCCACGAGTGGAGTAAAAAAAAGGAGAGGCCGTCGTAAAATTGATACATCCACGAGAGAGCGAGACGAGATAGCACGCGAAAATGTTATCTCCCTCTCCCGGTTAACCCTTATCGGTGAACTCGCTGGCGATTTGTACGCGCGAGGAAAACACGCGGCGAGCGTATCCGCGTCGCGCACGAAGCTCTCGATTATTGTCGCTTCCGCGGAAACTTTAGTCCGCGGCAATTTTGCTGCCGTGCTCATTATCCAATTACGGAAATTCGAAGTTAAACGCACCGCCGTAAAAACACGCACGGCTATTTGCGGGAAACGCACGTACGGGCCTCTTCTGCGAAGAGCGAAGAAGGCCTAATTTTAACGTGAAGCCACAACGTTTAATTTGCGATACGTTCCGTTTATGTAACGGTACTCGACTTGACCGGCTAATCATATAAATGAGTATTTACAGCTGTCGGCCGCGTAAACGAAGACCCGCGTGCGAATCTGATGTGTGACGGGTGCTACTTTAGAACTTGGCCAACGGCACACGATACTATTTTTCCTATTGCTTACGAGAGCCAATCGGGATTTAGCCCTAAGTCACCTGATCTAAAACTCTGCATTCTGAGTGCCCGTCTACAATAGAGATTTAAACCCTAAGCCTTAAGAAATTGATCAATCACAGTCGCGTATTCTATTCATACTTGCCCCCGGGGTTGGTCAACTTCTTAAGGCTTAAATCATCTATTGTAGACAGGGATTTATTGGTTCCCGTAAGCAATCCAGGAGGAAAAATAGTATCGTGTGCCGTTGGCTTTAGTAAATACTTGAGAATTTGATGGGAAAGCAATATCGTACTCTCTAAAAGTCAATCAGTGGATTGTCACTGAAAACAGTGAATATTCACTGATTCACAGTTACAAGTATTCACTAAATTATAACTGTTTTCAGTGATAATGCACTAATTGACTTTTAGAGAGCAGTTGTTAATAGATGCCTTAGCAAGATGACGAGAATCTATTGTTGTTCAGTCTTTATATAATGCAACTGTAATGTACTAGCCTTCATACATCTGTTAAGGCCTGTGTCGACGATGCTAGAACTTGGTCCAAGTTTCGAGAAAGGTGTAGCTAATCAGCTTGCAGCTATTCTATAAAAACTACAAGTTGATTGGCTACACATTTCTCGGAACTAGAACTTGGACCAAGTTCGAGCCCCGTGGACACAGGCCTCTACTGGTAGGCAACAATCTCGCTGATGCCTCAGCATTTGCATGTGCCTCTTACACCTTATCTTATCTTTCGTCTTGTTGGTCTCCTTGCAATTTCAGAATATCGTACACACCGCAATAAAGTTTATCAATGTTATTAGAATGCGGCTAGGCCCCGCGTGAATTTCAAAAGCCAATGGCCACGACGGCCGTTCTCACAGCAACGCGAATTTGCATTCCGCAGGTGGGGGGGGCCCTGCTCCGTAATCAAATACGTTATGATAATTAGACGACGGTCAAACAAATCGACGTCCGAAATTCCCATGGCGGTAACCAGCGACTACGGTTCGCTTCGCACCCCTCTCTGCTCGCGCGCGGTGCTGTCCCTCCGCGCCGTCCGATCCCGACCGGCCTTTTCCAATTACTCTCGGTTCCATCGAGCGCCGGACGTGCACCTGTGCCCCGGAAATGCGTAACGTACTACAGGTGCAGCCGCTGTAACGAGCGCGCGCGTTATCCGTGTGCGTCCGAGGGCGAGAGGAGGGGCCCCGGGCACCTTGGGGACCATTATATTCGGCGATTCATTCCGGCGCGCCGCGTCAAATACACGCACCGGGGGTGTCAATTGAACCGGATGGGACAGTTTAACGTCTTTTAAAGACGGCAAGCGATTCAATTTATTTTCCCGCCGCCCCTGCGCGTAACATAATCGCGCCCCGCTCACGCCGTCGCGTTCGATGTCTCCCTTTTTTTTTGCGTTCGCTCGACGGTCTCTGTTTGACGATCGCGCATCGCAGCGATAGGCTGCGTCAGCGTTGATGTACCTTGAAAATGGATTATCTAACGCGTCGAAGCGACCCCTTAATCGCTTTCTATCGTTAAGTTCTGCGAATACGACGCTTGGTCTAAGGCTGCGTTTTTGCTTCCAGAATCGAACGGATGACCTGAGCTCGGAGGTGGGATGCGGCGTGAGATGTAAGATCGATCAGGTAAGAAGCACCGGTTTGTTTGCATCAGATGTCCGGGGTGTGCGAATGATTCCTTTGAAAATTCCGTGCGAGGTTTCCCACTCGCACGTTCACTGCTACCATATGGGGTGCTCACCTACGTCCTTCGATCAGTAACCTGCAGTATTCCCTGTAATTCATATAACAGAGGGAATGACAAAGGGAAAGAGGTAAAAGTTGGACGAAAGATATTCCCAGTGGGAAATGATTCGTCGAAACGACGTCGAATCGACATCGTTCCGGCATCCTTTCGGCATCGATTGACAAGTCATTTCTCGCTGGGAACAGTTATAGATACGCCTGTCTCTCATTGGCTTCTTGGGTTGGTCGTCTTGTCCTCTCCTTGGTAAAATCATAGTATAACTAGTATGCCCACTACTTTGTCATTTGTTTCGTTTTGCGTCGGTCCTTTCTGCGCATCCGCCATTATTTTGGTGGAGCCAATGAGACGGATGTTGTATATGTGGTAGCTGTATATGTACAGGGTTGGGAAGTAACTCGTTACTTGTAACGAAGTTACAGTTACGGCTTGCATTTGCACATAAATGCTTTTATCGACACTTCACAATTCAAACGCGATTTTAATATTTTTATTTTCATTGCTAGAAAGTAACTGTAACGTAACGAAGTAACCGTAACTGTAACGTGTTACTTTTTAGAATTGGTAACTTGTAACTGTAACCAGTTACATTTTTAATGTAAAAAACTGTAACTGTAACTAGACACTTTTATAAAGTAACTTTCTCAACCCTTTATATGTGGTAGTGTGAAATCAGTGTGACAGTGTGACAGGATTTTATTATATACCGAAACCATGGCGGAATACCACGTGATCGAAACCGAAAAGATTAAAGGGCCGTCGGAGTGTGGGCATACTAGTTGTACTACGGTAAAATCGCATGCGATAACGCGGTTCGGGATAATCGCTAGTCCTGGCGGGATGGTGCGATATGCGATACGCGCGAATGATGACCGGTGCGGACGTCGGAGACGAAAACGAAGGGACGCCGGTCCCTCGTTACAATGAAAGTACTTCCGCTGTTGTCCCAGGGGGCCCCGCCGCTTCTGACTCGCGGCGATTGCGGAGATGGTGAACGGCGAATAAAAAAACAACGCGATGAATGGGACCAACGTGCGTACGTACGAAGCGCATTGCGCTCGTACGAATGAAAGAATGGCCCACTCTTTCTCTCCCGCTCTCTGGTACGGCTTCGTGCTTTTAAATTGGATCGCGTACAAGTGCGACCGATGACGGATGTCGCCAAATTACCGTGCGACTCCGGATTCACTCTCTCGCGCCTCGTCTCGCTGTCGCGCTCTCTCCGTTTCTCTCTATCTCGGCTCCTTTCCGCCCGAAACGGAAGTGCGAACGAGAGAAAACGGGGAAATTGAGAGAGCGACTGGAGCCTTTCCGACTTCCGTCGCACGACGGGATGAATAAGTACATGATCCTTCGTCAGCATTTATTTTCGTGTTTAGAGAGGGACGAGGGATCAATTAAACCGCATTCAAAATTAAGTGATAATGAAGAAGCCGGATGTAAATCCGTTGTAGCAATGAGACATTTTATGGAGATAATTATTTCACTGTAGAGAAAACATTTTGAATTCCGTGTAAAATTATAAAAAATTATAAAGAAAAGGGTGTTTCCACAAAGCTATATATTTCACACGGAACGAACAGAAGTGTAAAATGCACTGCCACAAGTAGACGGACTTAGGGCGAGTTTCACAAGCGTCGGTTAACTGCTAATCGAAGGTTAATTGATACTCTTCTTAGATAATAAGATAGAAAAAGATAGGGAGTTGCCCAGTCAGAAATGATTCGTCGATCTACGAGTAATTTCTGACTGGGTGACTGAACTTTGGTTAACAGTTAACCGACGTTTGTGAAACTGGCCCTTAATGTACTTCAAAGTATCGGTGACTCAGTATTTCAAAAGGGTCAAAAATACGCATTCCAGCGAGAGTGAAAGGACTCTCGGGGAACCGGAAGGATACCCAGTAACGCGTGTCTCCAGGACAGGGAACGAGCGGGGTAATTAACTCCATAAAGACAGGACACAGAAAGGATCCAGGCGTGCCTAATTGTCATATCTCTGAAAAAAAAAAAACACGGTCATCGATGGATCGGGCGTGTTCGTGGCCGCTCAGGATATCGCGCGCGGTTCATCGTTCGTTGCGCGCGTTGCGGAGCGAGGCCTGGAAAACGAATTACCGCGCGAATTGCGCTTAAAACGATTTCCTCCCTCGGCTCGTTTCACGGTTCGTAAGTCGCCAGTAACGCGTACGAGTAACGGATTGGGGCGACGTAGGTGTAGGAAGACGCTTCGCGATCCTAGCTGAACGTTTACGCGCTTCGGCGCGACCCACTTTTAGCTGCCGCGCTCTTTCGACTGAGGAAATGATATCGTATGAAACTTTCGATTCTGCATGACGCTCTTTTAACTTGCGCCTAAATTACAGTTGTCATTTTACTTGAAGCTTCTTTTAATTTTGATACAGTACGTTGAAAATGTTTCATATTGTTTTTTATACGCGTAACAAGGGAAGAAGTAAAATACCCGTTGCTAATTTATTTTTAGAGATCCATCCAGTTAATTTGTCTAATTATTCTGATTAATCGATAATGGAATGTAAGCACTGCGTGTCTGTTATCGCGTTCGACGTTCACTTCACGAACATCAACGGATTGACTTTACGTCTCTTCCGGTAATTTCACAGGTCGATAACGACGAATTAATACCGCTGGAATTTCTTTTGTTCGACGCCCTCTCATTTTTTTTTTGAGTTCGCCCTCGGGCATTAATGTAGCCTTGCATCCCCTGCTCACCTCCGGAAATATTCGTCGATGACTACTTCCAATCTCCCTACGGACAGTTTACAAAATACAAAGACAGTTTAATAAATTGCAATCGTTGCTCGAGATAAAACATATAATACACGCCTCTTGCGGCAAATAATATAAACTAAACGTATTGAAATAAATTTAAAAAATTGCGTGTCAGGTTACAATCCAAACCTATAAATAAGAAATTAAAAATCTGACAAATAAAATCGTAAGGCTCTGACGTGAAATCATAAATACGAAGTAATAAAGGATATAAGAGATGATGTTAGTGTCTAAATGATTTTAATTTTTAAATTTATTGCAAAAAACTGACCCCAGTCAGGGTTTGGACCAATTCGACCACCGAGGCAATATTAAACATCTGAAATGTTTTTCTTACGAGACATTTCACGTAGTATTTCCTACTTGAGGTTTCGAGAAAAACGTAAACCGCTGACAAAACGATAAACACTTGTTTCCGTGTACCGTGTGTCAAGAAACCAGACGGTCGAGTGTGTTTGTCAGACATTGTAGTAAAGTGGAGGACCGCCGACAGCGAGGTATCCATACAAATGTCTCTGCTTGATAGTGGCTACTGCCAGAAGCCACTTTAAAGATTGCTGCCATGTAAAGATTGCCAGATGCTAACTACTACTAACGAGATCTCAACTGCTACGAAGTAGTTAATTGAAAAAAACGCTTTAATATTTTTCACAGAATGTCTCGTTAATACAATCATTATTTAAGTCGAAAAGCATTGCTATCGTTATTTAAAAAAATTATTCAAGTAGAAATATTTCCCAAGAAATGGCACAGCGTTTTTAAATTGTCCATATTTATCTTTTATCAAATTTGAGGATAACTTTATCTTTAAATTGTTTATTGAGTATGAACAAGCACACAAACGTATAATAATTTTTTACCCTATAGAGTACAAAGTTTCATCGGACATATTTTAATAACTATTGTAATGCTAACATGGCAGATAAGAGTAAAAAATTATCAGAGACGATCGATGAGAGACAAGAGGATCTTTTAACAAAATCTGGAAGATTTGACATCGGCAATCAGCTGCACATGTAAATTAGCAGCTCGTTATAAAGACATTACTGTATTAAGGAAGACGATCCCGAGGCGCCGTATTCGTTACCTTTTTTTTCCCCTCTCCGCTCGACTATGGTTGCACAGCCAGACTGAAAGCGGTAAATGGGGTTAAAGCGAAACGAGGAGAGGACAGATAGAGCTCGTATGTGGTAGAACGAAGATCTACGATCTACGGGGAGCCGCGTGCGTGGAGGGAGGACCCAGCTGGGGGCATAATACCCGGTGAGGATTTAATGAGGAAGTGAGAAATTAGCGGCCGCTGCGCCGAGCCGCTCGGTTCAACCATTTTCTACTGTCTGATAGTTTTGTCAACCCCCATTGTGGATGTGGCTAGATCGTTTAAAAACCCATGTTTGATGAGGCACGTCGAATTAAAACACCCATATGCTTATTACGGCGAATTAAACCTCGGGATCCGTACATCCTTTGCTTCACATTAGACTGGACTGATACTCATATTTTTTTACGGAAGAGAAAGATAAATCGATAGAAATCTGCTAAAAATAAGCTGTAAATTAATCGGAATTATCGAAAAGGGCAAAGAGTTGTACAACAATGTCGCCGCGGTCATAAATTAGATAAAACATTAATCAACGGTTTTTTTTTCGGCGTGCGGAGTACGCGCACGATAACCAAACGTGAGTAAAATAAGCATTTTACGTTTTGGCGCGGCTTCCAGAGTCACGAAGTAAATTTTGATGCCAGACATATCCAGACCAGTTGTATTTCATTCGAACGCGCATATATTCAAATGTTTGCATATTTGAATATTTACGTATTAAATTTAAGGTTATAATTAAAATACATAGAGAAAATTGAAATTTAAGTAAAGAAATCTATATCTTAGTTGTTGAAACGATCCCCGAACTTTTAAATATAGTAACAACCGAATTTACAATTTTTTGTTGCCAGTTTAAAATGTAAAATTTAAAATCACTAGACACCGTTGACACAATTGTACAAGTAATGTGCACAATTTTAATTATGGCAGTCAATTAACGAGATGTGAAATATGACACTCGCGCCTCGTTGATTTACCAGAAGTGTCGTGGAGCTTTAGCGTCAAATGATTATTAATAACGTTTATCTGGCGCTGGAGGTTCCTTTCCTTCGATGGACTTTTCAACGAGCTGACCTATGTGATACCCTCGAACACCACCATACGCGCACACGATGTTATGAGCATATAACGCGACGAACGTCTCGAAAAGTTCGTCAATAGTTCACGTCAAAGACTTGCTTCTTTTTTCAAGTACATATAAATACGAAGTACACCTCGAGACGTAATGTGTTGAGAAACGAAACAACAATCAAGTCTGCTAATAAAGGCTAAACATTAGTTTATTATTAAAAGGATGGTTTAAATGTGTCTTCGTTTAGATTTTTAATCGTTTATGTTGTTTATGAAATTATTCGATTTTTAATTAAACACGTTTAGTAATTAAACTTAATTTTGTTGCAAGTGTGTAGGACGTTTTAATACTTATAAGATTACACTTTGTCGCGAGAATTCGTAAACATCTCGCTCGTGTGTGTGTTTAACAGTACATGTGATGTAAGGCAGCGACAAAAAACACTGGTTGAGAAATATCAATATCTCGGACTGATTCTTTGAAATTTTATTTTTCGGGTGTTATTGTGCCTTTCTCGACGACCGTAAACTGAGCTGAATTGAATAAAGTATTTGACATAAATTAATTCGCGATCAAGTTTTAATTAATTGCGTGGGATTAGGTCAATAGTAGAAAAATACGTTACAGTTTGCGCGGGGAAATTAGGTCTCGTACAACGCAATTTGCTTATTATTCCGCAATGCCGAGTGCGGTATTATTTATATGCGGCGCCTCTCGAACCGAGCGGAGTGTCGATCAGTCTGCCAATTGCTAAATAGCACCTCTTGTATCCGGACATTGAAATAGATCTTCCACTGCATGTTACGAAATTATATCAACTTATTACTAAAGCCGATAAAATTGTGACATTAGAACGTAAAAAAAAGCGTAAAGATTAAGAAAGAGATTATTCTTTTGTAAAAAAAAACTATCATTCTATTATCTTTACGATAGAAACTACGAAAATACACCATAATCTTAATAGCTGCACAAGTTGAAAAACAGTGGCAGTGATAACCTAAATATTCCAAACGCAATGTTTAGATCTATCGAGACACTCGAGGCCGACACTCGAGGCAAGTTCTGTATATTTATGCCTCCAGTTGTATTCGAATGGATCTTCCACGCTAATGTTTTCTTTCAAAACTCAGTAATACTTACAGCTCTATTCGGTGTACTGCGAAAGAAATTCCTCATGTTCAAAAGAACAAATTCAAAGCAAAGTTGGAGCAGTCAGTTCAGCGATTCGAATCGGTCCTTTACCGCTCAGTTTTCATAATTAATATTTATTCGTTGACTTTTATATGCACATAGTAATATTCGAACTTCAATAATGCTATAACTTTAGGTGAGGAAATTAAATTAATTATTGATACAAAAATATAACAACATATCAAGACATATCCAAGAAACACTCTGAAGTCAAGAAAAAGTCAAAATGGCATTATTTTAACTCAAAATGGTCACGCGATTCCTAATGTGACGAAAAATTGACTCCAACATATCAACATACGCTGTTCAGCGACGAAAAGATGACTTTGCGTTGGTAATGCAAATTAGCTAGCTTTTTATTTTTGATTATTTGTCTTTTGTATACTTGGATCAGTAAATAAGATTCTTATATTTTTCAGTTGTAATATGAACGATTATATACTATTAAGTTGTTTCACTTTCGTGTTTATCAAATCTACATTTTTGCGCTTTCTGTTAGACGTAAACAAATCTCTTCTTTGCACATAAAAATGTTATTTTAGTTTAAATGTTATAATCTGTGCTATGTAGTGCTATGTAGTGCTATTTCAAATTCTTTTCTAAGAATTTTCGTATTTTAATATTTTTCATGAATTCCTAAAACCCGTCCACGTTCTATCTACATATTCTTTGGTGAAAATCTCCCAATATTTTCAATGCGAAACGAAGTCTTGTTGTACGATTTCGCATGGGTTTCCAACTTTCCACGCGGATTGCGAGATCCGCCCCATATGTTAAATATTGATAATTCTATTTATCTAATTATGTGACAGTCCAAGTCGGACTCGAGTCCCTTCTAGTCTTTGCCTCCAATCGATAAAAATCCATTTGAAGCCATTCAAACCATTTTCATAATACATAAATAGATGGCTTTTCGGAAATTTATTCAGTATTTTTATCTGATGACAAATGGATCTTCTCTTGGAGATTATTTTCGGGAATATTTTCGCGGCCGAGAGGGCGGTATAGGAAAACCGCAAGATAAACAACGCACGTTGGCGCAGTGGAAGCTGAGCCGCACGCGTCCTCGGCTACAGCTGCCTTGTTGTCGACGACAAATGCCCACATCCTCTCGTGCAGAAAGTTAATGCGTTAAACTTCAGTTCGCAAATCCATGCCCGACATGGTACCACGCAACGAGCGTCTTATGAACGTGGGCGTTACTTGAGGCACGTGCCACGCAGGCCGAGATCGGACGCAGCCACGAAAAATTACGGTTTCGCCACGTAGCGGCATGACGAGTTATGTCACTTCGCTCCGGATAACGTGACCCATTGTTCGGCCACTTCCGGAGCTGTATTTTAGCGAATTGTACAACGTTTGACGGCCTTCAGCGGAAGAATGCACGCCGGACAGATCAGATTTTTTTTCCACAAATCCAATGTATAGTGGAGCGTTTCATTCTCTGCAATATCCAGATAAAACAGCGAAAGCGTTTAGACCAGATGGCCTCAAATATTCTGTGTATCAGCGAAAAATTTTAGTCATTAAAACGAATAACGCCAAATTAAGGAACAAGTAAACTCTGTTTCATTTTTAAAAGAGATTGGTAAAAATTATGATAGCTATCAAACACTTTTCACCATTCTCTTTCAAGAACGAAATAGAGTTTACTAGTTTTAGAGTTTACTGTTGTGAAATTAAACGCTGCAATATAACATTAATTACGTAGGTACCTACTGTTTCTAATTCACCACGTTTTGAAAGACAATTCGCACCTCCTTCAAAATGGAAAACTTGTATAAGGATAAAGTTTGTCGTACAGGCTTGAAGTACTTACATTTTTGAAAATTTTATCTGTGCTTATTAGCCAGCATATAATTAACCAAGCCTACTTACATGAGAACAAAAACGTTGTTCGAAAAACCTTAAATTAGATTCTCAAGAAGAAACCAATGAGAAGAATATGACACAATGCCTTTATTTTGCGTTTTACTGGGAAGAAGTCCTCGTTGAAAATTTGGTCCAGAATCTTTTGAAGTATTCAGAAAGATTCGTTCCTGTGTGTGGATTCGCTCCTTTTACGAATACGTGAAATTGGGATATCTTTATTGTCATTTTCTTATCTTTATGCTTATTGTTGCAGTGTACAAAAGGCTGCGAGGCATGGGAACAGGCGCTCGACACAAGCTGCCAGGCTGTTTGCGTTAGTATCGCGGCCATTTTTATTTTTATGACATTTTTTATCGGGGAAACTTACGTAAAGCCGCGCTGCGCTCGTAGTTTTTCGCATGGCCGTTTTACGTAATACTTTCCTGATTTTAGAGATGCATACTTAATGTTAGCCCGATGTATGTTCACAGAATGGAACGCAGGAATTGTTACCACCGAAAGAATTGTACTGCGTTTTGGGCTGCCATGACGCATTAAATCGTTACTTCCAGAAGCTCAAAGGTAACTGTGCATCTTGCGAGACATTAATTTCAAATTGTTAATTACTCATGAACTATTCGACAGTAGTGCACTAATGTATAGAGGAAAGGCCCTCCCTATTATGAGATAAGTTCCATAATATGAAATAGCAGGGTTTCTTGAAATAGTAGGATTTATTGCTCTTGAAGTAAAATTCGTTTAGTGGCAAATTCACTGTTAGATCGTGTGATCGTCGCGAAAAAAGATTTGTAATGTAAGAACTGAATTTTGGATGATGAAAACCTGCTGTCTTACATTAGAAGCCTATCTCATAATGGCGGACTATCCTCTAATATGTAATATAACAAATTGATGTGTTATATGAATACAGAATTAAATTATTATCAGAAATTTTGTCAGAGTAAAGAACATTTTTACTTGTTACAAGACGACATCGCTTCAAACTTACAGTTAAATATCACTCTATGCAATCAATTGTGTTTATGTACGGAACGCTTACGTGAAAAGAGGTAATATATGTGATATCTAAATTTAAAAACGCACATCGTTGACTATGTACTTCTCGTTTTTCCCTTTTTTTGTCAACATTATTATATGCTGTTACATGTTGTTCTCATATGCTTGAAGTTGATTAATTATTGCCATAGTGAATTAATCAAAATCCGGATTTAACTAGACGATACTTAAAGACACTCTCACACACGCAATATAATAATCATCATCTCGCAGTCAATCTTATACCTTATTTTTTTTACCTTGGTTCGCCAGTATTGCTTTTAAAAATGCGCGAATTCCTTACCGTACTGATCATAAGAGGACACCTCGAGCGGGACTTCGTCGTAATGTTCAAAGTTGCTGGCATCGCCGCTGTTACTGCAATGCGGAATGAAGCTCGGCTGCACTTTCTGATAATAAATCTCGATCCAGTCGATAGACTGGAACCAGCGATGCCTCTTGATGTCCATGCTACCGTCCTTCAAGTTACCGTATCTTCTCGTCAGATCCACTTGCAAGATGTTCTTCAGTATGTCCCTCAGTTCCTCGCCGAAGTGATGCGCGAACTTGTACTTGCCCGCGACGATCTTCTCGTAGATCTTCATTGGATCGTGCGCGTAGAAAGGCGGGTATCCCGCGTTCATCTCGTAGATGAGCACGCCGAAGCTCCACCAGTCGACGGCCTTGCCGTAGCCCTTTGACAGGATCACCTCCGGCGCCAGATATTCCGGGGTGCCGCACAACGTCCACGTGCGGCCGTCCACCATCTTGCAGAAACCGAAATCGGTCATCCTGATGTAGCCCGAGTTATGTATCAGGATGTTCTCCGGCTTCAGGTCCCGGTAGATCAGGCTACAGTGGTGCAGGTACTCCAAGGCTAAGGCCACTTGGGCGGCGTAGAACCTCGCCAGCGACTCGTCGAACTTCCCCATACGCCTGAGATGCGTGAACATCTCGCCGCCCTGCGCGAACGGCAGCACCATGTACACGTACGAATTGTCCTTGAAACGGGAGTCGAAATACAGCACGTTTATGTGTCCGTTTTACAAGAACATTTTAGTTAGCTGTCAAATGTAAGGATGGATAATTTCATTTTCTGTTAAAAGAAATAATTTGCTGGGATGTACACGTATGTACGGAATTCGAGGGATTAGCAATGCCGTTACTTTAATTTCCGACTCTTGCCTTGAAGCAGAACTCCATGAAGACCATGAAGGGAAAGTTGATGGACTGCAGGATCCGTTTTTCATTACGCGTGTGGTCCACTTGTTTCGTCTTGACGAGTTTCGCTTTATCGAGGATCTTCATGGCGTAGAACGCGGATGTATGTTTGTGCTTGACGAGGATGACGCGGCCGAAGGCGCCGGTGCCGACGGTTCGGAAACGATCGAAGTCGTCCAGCTTCGAGTTGTCGTCCATTTTCGCCTTCCACTTTTCCACGAACGCCGTCTTCAGGCCGTCCAGAATGTCGTTGTATTCCTTGAACATCCGTTCTCTTTCTGTGTCGACCATTCGTACGTTGGGCGTTTCAAATTGGAGGGTTAAAATTACGTAATATGACAAGGCGTTTGCTTCAAGCTTGCTCTGCGTCGCGACACGATCGTATGTTGTTTCTCGCAGTGCCATTAAGATTGTAGACATACCTAGTCAGAAAAGTTTAAAAATTAATTAAAAATAAACGGTACAAGAGCGACGATTTTCGTTCTCAGAATGTATTTTACGCATTAAAACACACAAATTCTGAAAAATGTACAAAATTCGAAGGTGTTATACTGCATATTTACCCCATGTCTATGATTACGATCGTTGCTTCACACATTCCGATCAAAAATTACACTCCTCTGGAATTATCTCCACACATGTCCACAGGTACAAATCACAGACGCACGCATACGTAACTGTGCACCGGTCGTATAGACATCTAGCTCTCGTAAGAAATACGCAGATACAGCGATGCTTCGCCTTTTATTTAGAATCCTATTCTTTTGCGGTGTTACTTGCCTTTTCTGCCCTTTGCAAAAAACTAATAAATGTTTAGC